AAAAAAAAAGTGCATAGTAGGTGCTTCCAGGTTAATATGCAACCACAGGCAGAAGTCTTTATAAACAGGAGTCTCTACTTCAGGATTTTTTAAAGACGAGGAAAGGCCTGAGTATTGTAGATTGGGGTGAGAGAGCTTTTTCCCCAAAAAAATATTTCTCAAGGAGAAAATATGGTTTTGATTTTAACAACATTAAGTAAAGTTTTAGCAAGAAAAAAAAATTTTTTTAAAGAAATTTTATTAGCTTTAGGTGTAAAAATAAAATCATAGACCAGAAATTTTTATCTCCCTTCCTTCCCTAACTCCCCAAATCATTGACTTAATATAAGAAGAATTTCATTTGCCTCAGATGAAAAGAAAGAGGGATTTGGGAATCTGAATCTTTATTGTAGGCTCTTTTACCACTGAACAAGTCACTTAACTTTAAGGATCTCAAGAATCAAGTCTTCAGTCTAACAATTGTTCAGACTGTGGAGGGCCTCATGCCTAGATTATAATGTTTTCATTTAGTTCTGTGCCTCTCATTAATTTTCCCTGTGCTTCTTAGAAGAATGGAGCTGGCAAAATCTAAAAGACAGTCTCAAAAAATAGAGTCCATTGTTGGAGGTTTCCACATTTGGCCTTTTGTGTTAGCAGCACAAGGACTGACCTCTGTGAGATCTCAGGGGGTGTACAAAAGGACACACCTCATGGCAAAGATGGGGGAAACGGGTTGGGGTAGAGGGGTGGAAATGCAGGCACAATTCAAGCTTCCTCAATAGCTCTGTGGGGCAAGGTGGACATACTCCTATTCAAATGGTATTTTGGAAAGAGAACCTACCTGGATTGAAATAAAAAATAATATTTAATAAATCTTGGTCTCCCCATGTGATGGCATTCTTGTACTTCAGGTACAGAAGGTACACCATGTCCTCCCAAGCCAAGCCTATTGGAATCATGCTGTTCTGGAAAAGAGAAAATATCAGAGCTTCTGAAGCAAAGCAAAAACATCTTGTCTACTGAGAAACAATATAGAGGCACTGGTCACCTTCTCCTCCCCCTCCACAAAAGCAAATAGAGGAGGGATCCTGCTAGCCTCAAGGCATAGGACAAAGCAAAATTAGGGCTGTAGATTGTAGAGTTTCAGATATACACATGAATACTAGATGGATAAGGAACTGGTAGTTTGAACTATGATTTCTACTTAGAAAATCATGCCCCAAATCGGATCTCTTTTTATGCTTAATTCTTGCCTCTGAAGGGAAGGAATATAATACGGATAGCAGAATTAAGGCATCTTAAGGAAAAATACACTTTCCTTGTCTTAAAAATAATTATTTCATTTTAAAATAAAAGCAACACATCCACAGACTAAATATTCAAACAGCATACAAAGACCTAAAATAAAAAAGTAAAAATATTCTTACTCTATCGTCCTACAATTTCCATCCCCCCGTTCCCTAGGAGTACCCACAATTAACAATTAATGGTCTCTTAGGTACTTTTCTGGACATTTCTAAGGCATAAAAGGGATTACACTCTATGATATCATGCTTTGTTGTATTTCTTTTTTTTTTCACTTAATAGTTTTAGAGCTCTTATTTATAGATTTACCTAATTCTTTTTAATAGGAGGATAATTTTTTTTTTACTAGTTCTCTACTGATGTTCACTTAGATTCTTTCTAGTTATTTGCTAGGATAAATGATGAGGCCATGAACAGCCTTGTACAAATATTTAGTGTGCTTATGTAAATATACCCCTAGGGTAATTCTAAGAACTTTTCCATGGTTTTTAAAGCCTTGGATACACATAGAGTTTAAACATTATGGAATTCAGAGATGGAACATAATAGTCCTGAATAGTAACTCTGCTGAAGCTTTAAATTCCATAATCACCTGGGCTTTTCCTGAACAAACAAATATTCTATACATCTCCAAATGCTTTTCTCTTCCCTGGCACCTTCCATCTTCACCTACAAGTCACCTACTTCCAAAATCAGCACACTGAAACTCTAGGAATGTCACTATTAAAAAGACAACATACTGGTTTTTAAACAAGGAAATATAAAACACTGCCTTACCTTGAAATGGGCACTTCTTATACGAGTTAAATTCATTAGCATGACTCCTGAATTAACTCCTGCAGAGCCATAGAAAGGGTGCTGAGCAAAGCGGCTATACCAGCCAACCTTGGGAATTTCATGTTCTGGGGCCATGGCTGCAAGCTGGGTGGAATTAAACTGCCTCAGAAGCTTCCAGATGTCATCAACTGGTCTCAGAAAGAGAACATCGGTGTCCACATAGAGAAGTGAGTCCACATCCTTTAAAATCACCTTTGTGTATATTGAGGGAGGGGGAGGAGGGAGAAAACAACACAAAAACAAGTCAGAAACAAAGAAAGTGGCCTGATTTTAACAATGCCACTGATTTCATAAATTAATGTTGAATTCTAGAAAGGGAATAACTCTTAGCTCCCATTTCTCCCTTCTCCTTTCACTTGGAGGGTAAGTGTCAATAAAGGGGTAGAGTTGCAAAGTTAGATAAATCTCAATCTAGATAGGTTCAATTCAGGACCCTGGATAGGTTCAATTCAGGACCCTGGACTATATTTGGTAAGGAATGAACTTTCAAAGGAATGAAAACATCAGCAAATTACTGTGGCTGTCATTTTCAATCTTTCAACAAAGGACATCTGTCTTTCTCTCTTAGTTTTTTTCTTGGAAAAACTAGGTCTGGCATTAGACAACTTGAAGTGGACAATTTTGAAACGAGCTCATGCCAGACTTTGGGGTAAATATTCTGTCTCTGGATCCATTTTTTTCTAGTGCTGATGGCTATGGCTCTGCATCTTTTTGAAATGATATTTTGAGCTAAAATTTGGACTTGGGAATAGGCAAGGCAAATCATTGGCCAGCTTTGTTTGCAGATCAGTGACTGGAAAACTTTTTCTCTAAAGGGCCAGAGAGTAAATATTTTAGGCTCTATTAAAACTACTCAACTCTGCTGTTGTAGCATGAAAGCGGCCATTGACCATGTGTAAACGAATGAGTCTAGCTGTATTCTAATACAACTTTATTTAGGGATGCTAAAATTTAAATTTCATATAATTGTCAGATGTCACAAAATCCTTTTGTTTTGATTGTTTTCAACAATTTGAAATGTAAAAACCATTCTTGGCTCAATGGGCTGTGGTTTGTCAACACTTGTTGTAGGTCATTCAATCAAACCATCTTAAGTAAATGACTTCTTCTGTGCTAACTGCTTAGCTTACCAGAGTTTTGCCCTGGGGTTTGAGGTTACAAAGCCTTAGATAGTAATAGTGTTATTTGCCTTATTTTGCCATTGTTCCCCAAATTTAGGCATAGATTAATCAAGAAAAATTTGAATACTCCTGGATCCCTGACCTACCATCATTCTAACACCACAATACTTGTTATGGATTGAATGTCTGTGTCCTTCCAAAATTCACATGTTAAAGCCCTAACCCCCAAATGTATTTGGAGATGGGGTCTTTGGGAGATAATTAGGGTTAGATGAGGTCATGAGGGTAGAGCCCTCTGATGGGATTGTGTCTTTATAAGAGACACTAGAGCACTGTTGGTGGGACTTCAGGTTGGTGCAGCCACTATGGAAATCAGTATGGAGGTATTTCAAAAAGCTGGAAATGGAACTGCCATATGACCCAGCAATTCCACTCCTAAGTATCTATCCAGAGAAACCCAAGATGCTAATTCAAAAAAATATATGTACCCCTATGTTTATTACAGCGCTATTTACAATAGCCAAGATTTGGAAACAACTGAAATGCCCATGGGTAGATGACTGTGGGTAGATCTACATGGGTAGATTAAGAAACTGTGGTACATTTATTTATACAATGGAGTATTACTCAGCTATAAAGAAGAATGAAATCGTACCATTTGCAACGATATGGATGGACCTAGAGAACATTATGCTAAGTGAAATAAGTCAGTCAGAGAAAGACAAATACCATATGATCTCACTTATATGTGGATTCTAAAAAACTGAATAAATGAGCAAAATAAACAGAAATAGTCTCAGAGATATAGAGAAAACACTCATGGTTGCTAGATGGGAGGGGGGAATGAGGGAGAAAGGGAAGGGATTAGACAGCATAAAATGGTAACTACAATATTGCCACAGGGATATGAAAGACAGTTTGGAGAACATAATAAATAATGTTGTACATATTTTGTAGGGTGTCAGATGGTCACATGTCTTGTTAGGGAGACCACTTCCTGGACAGTGTAGAGGCTTGGCCACTGCACTGTACACCTGAAGCTGATATTGAATAATATCATATGTCAACTATAATTTTATATATATATTATATATATATATATATATATATATAATATATATAGTCATGGGATATGGAGTATAGAGTGGGGAGTGGAGTCAATGGAATTGTAATCGATATGTATGATATCAGGGCAGAGGTTGAGGGAGAGGGGTTGTCACTTTGTGAGGGGTGAAAAGTATAACTGTTGCATTGTTTTGTATACTTAAATCTAAAAATAATTTAAAAAAAGAGTGGGACTGGCCTAGGTTCTCAAAGAAATATGCCTAAGGTCTCAGTGACAGTGGTGTTTGCAGTTGCACTCTAGGTAAACTAAGAAATTTGTTATTATTTGCTTGTTGCAAATAATTTGATGCCAATCTGTATTCATCAAGGAATATTCCTTGATATTTAAAAATGTAGATATAACTATATAAATGATTTTAATTGCTAAGATTATGAAATTAAAACAACCAGAAAACATCAAATTTAGAAGGGATCTTTAAGTAGTATTTTTAAAAAACAATATCTTATATTGAGGCCCTAATTTGTGTGATCTCTCTTGTCAGGAGTATGTCTACATACTCATCTTCAGTCCCTAGAGAAGTAACTATGGTACTCAAGCCATTGTACGTGTTAAGCAGACGAATAAAGACTAAATGGCTTTCTCTGTAAAAAAAAAAAAAAAAGGAAAGGAAAATACAGGTGGCCTTATTGGAGGATGGAAAAAGACAACCACAGTAATTTGCTGCTGTTTTCATTCCTTTGAATGTTCAACCCTCACCAGAGAGCTCTCTCTCTCTCTCTCTCTCTCTCTCTCTCTCTCTCTCTCTCTCTCTCTTTCTCTCTCTCTCTCTCCATTATGAGATGATACAAGAAGGCAGCCTTCTATAAGTCAAGAAAAGGACTCTCACCAGAACCCTACTATACTACCACCCTGATTTCAGACTTCCAGCCTCCAGAACTATGAAAAAAATAAATTTCTTCTGTTTAAGCCACCCCATCTATGATATTTTGTTATGACAAGCTAAGACAATACTCTATTGGGATCCCCAATATTTAAAATTGATGAATAATGTATGACATAATACAGGTATCACAGAAATTTCACTCTTGAATAATTTCAAAGCTTACATGATTAGCCACAGAATTTATCTTTCTCATCTACTAGGAGAATAGATTCTACAAACCAATAAAATAAAATTAAAAATAATCATCATTTACCATTTCATAAAAGATTATTATTATTATTTTTTAAAGATTTTTATTGGGGAATTGGGGGGATGGGAACAGTGCTGGGGAATTGGGGGAAGGGGAACAGACAAGTTGCTGTCCTTTTGTTCTTCAGGCTAGTTGTGGAGGACGTTGCTTCACTGGCCCAAGTTGGCACCATCATTGTGCTCTTCCTGGGTGAGGCAGATCAGTCGCCAGCTTCTGGATGGCTGCTCACTGTGGCTGCTGGCCACTCACGCTGGCTGCTGGTTACATATGGTAGCCCATGGCAACCCACTTCCTTAGGGGCTGCAGCCTACGCTGTCGCCGTTGACTCATGGCAGCCCAGCTCCAGGTTGAGCTGTAGTTCAGCATCTTAGCTGTGGAGGACAGTGTCACTGGCCCTCATACATGGGATCAGAACCAGGGCCCTCTGGCGTCCCAGGCCAGTTCTTAACCATCGCGCCACTCGGCCGGCCCCATAAAAGATTATTTTGACATCCACCATAACACCTTGAAGATCCTAATTTCAGAATTAGGATGAATTCTTTAAATTGAATATACAAACTAAAATAAAGTCCCCATATTATCCTTACTTTTCCCTCTTATTTTGTCATGGAAAAATAAAAACTTTGCCACAGATTAGCATTAGTCTGCTGACTTTTTTTTTTTTTAATCACAACTCCAGAGTACTGTGGAGGAAAGTCAAACTCTCCACAGAAGTACTAGTAAATGCATGTTATAATACAAATTCTGTGTCCCATGTAAATACAGTTGTGATGTCTTGCACACCCAAGACCATCCCAGGGACTTGATATCCTGCCAATCTTATTTTACTGGGAAGAAAAACTAAAGCACAGAGAAGTCTTCTGTTCAAGTTCATGTGTCAAATAATACCAATGATTGCTGGATTTTGGCTAAAAAGGCACTGTCTAAAGTGTGTTTAAGGGAACAAGAGACTGCATGGTGTTCCAATAAAAAGCTAATTTAGAAACACTAAATCAGTAAGAAAGAGAAAACTATTTCAACCCATGTGAAATAGTACAAATTTCTCCTTATGGCAGATTATCTAACAAGGCCTAAATAAAAGCATATAATACTAATGTTTTAATCAACAGAGGGTTATGCAGACATCTACCCCCAAAATGCAAGGTTATTGAGTTAATTTATTTCCTTGGTCTTAAATCATTATTACTGTTAAAGCTATCATTACTTTCTTCAATAAAATAAATGTATTACCACCCCTCATTAAAACAAAAAGAAAACAAGTACAAAAAAAACTTTTAAAAAACTAAACAAAAGCAAAATAAGTCACACAGAAAAAGCTGAGAACCATATGAGTTCACTGATATTTGTTATATAAAACTGAAAGCTACAAAGAAACAATACAAACAAATAAAGAAACAAAAACTCATAGAGACAGACAATAGTTTAGTGGTTACCAGAGGGTAAGGGGGGAGGGGGGTGGTAGATGAGGGTAAAAGGGATCAAATATATGGTGATGGAAGGAGAACTGACTCTGGATGGTGAACACACAATGTGATACATAGATGGTGTATTACAGAATTGTACACTTGAAACCCATGTAACTTTACTAACAATTTTCACCCCAATAATTTTTTTATTAAAGTTTATTTCAATTAAAAAAAACAAACAAACCTGAAGGATAGAGGTATTCTATCATGAAGCTACAGGTAATATCTTTAATCAATAGAGATAAAAACAAACAAGTTGTATCAGAAATTTATAAAATCAGAACAATCTTAAATAGTGTAAAATTTTTATTTGACCAATATCCTATTATATAACATGCAGTTTGCT